GCTGATGCGCGCACGCTGGCCACCCGGCCCTTTGCCAATTCCATCCACCCGCCCGTCCACCCATCTCCTGCCCTCCTACCACCGTGCAAGAGGCCCAGCCAGCCAGCCACCCGAGCCGCCAGCCCAGCCAGCCAGCCAACAGCCAGGCGCCCGTCCAGCGCACCCGCCAGCCGGCCGAGCAAGCCAGCCAGCCAACCGCAGCCACCTTGCTGCTTGCTTCTGCCCCGCCACCTTGCCGCTGCTTTCGCCCACTTCTGCCTGCCGCTGTCAATCATCGGAGACGTCGGAGAGGCCCTCTCCGGCGTCTCTGATGATTGAAGGCCTTGCTTCTGCTCTGCCTCTGGTGAGTTGACTGTTGCTGCTCTTGTACTTCTGCCGCTCCGCTGCGCATTGCTGACTCCTTTGCTCCCCTCTTCCTTTTGCCTGCTCCTCCTTCATCGCCTTACTTTGCTGCTGACAATGTCAATGCCCTGCTGCCGTCCTGCTGCCGCCCTGCTGCCACCTTGCTCTACCGCCGTTGCTGCTGCCCTTGTAGGCATAGCTAGCGTCAAAGGGCAGGTGGATTTTGGTTGTAGGCTGACCTACGGCCAGAAATCGGGAAATCGGGGGTCATCTACGCTAAAAATGGCCGAAGGCAGCCCTACGGCCAAAATCGGTGATCTCCTGCGGTAATTTGGGGTTGTAGGTCCACCTACAGCCAGAAACCGGCAATCTCATACGGCATTTTTGGTCGTAGGGCCCCCTACAAGCCCCCTACGGCCATTTTCTGGGGAGCAGCTACGGCATTTTTGGCCGTAGGCCTCCTACAGCCCTGGACCAACTCTACCCTGCGCAGAATATGGCCCTTTTTGCTTATGTCAGCTCAGAGGCCTGCTTGCGCGCGCGCCGGCCCCTTTGCCACCCGGCCCTTTGCAAAATCCATCCGCCGCCCACCCGTCTCTCTTTCCCTCCTACCACCACCACCATCCAACGCCAATCGCCAGCCAGCCGCCAGCTCTGCCTGCTGCCCAAGCCAGCCACCCTGCCAGCCATCCGCCAGCCGTCAGCGCAGCGC